GGACTGGAGCAGCTCCCCACCCGCCGCAGGCAGGGGGCTGCTCCAGTCCAGGTAGGCCCATCACACTGCTCCAGTCTGGCCAGGCCTGCTGTGCTGTGGGCGCTCCAGTCTGGCTAGAACAGCCCTGGCCTGCAGAGGGGGGCCACTCCAACCTAGTTAACTGATTAAATGGCATTTTTCATCCCTACTGTATACTTGCAGAAAGGTAAAATATAGGTTGGGCATCCAACCATAATAGTTGCATTTCTGGGCTTTTGGGTGCTTTAATGTGCAATCCTAGCAAACGTAGGTTTTTGCATGTCATTTCCTAGATGTTTAAGAAGAAAAACACTTCCAGCTTACTGACACCACCAAAGGCAAAGATTGCCATTACATATCACTTACAAGTAATTTGTGGACTCAATTAGTATTAGTATGAAAATGAATACTTGGCTTGCAAGACCTGGGTGTTTATCCCATGGCTGCGTAAAGTGCCTCTTATCACCATGGCCAGCTATCTCCCTGTTGCTTATACTCAATCTATTTTGTTTTGCAAACCTCAACTTGAGTTACTTCCAAAACCACAAAATATAACTGTTGTTGTTTGCCTACTCCAAGGCTGCTTCTGTTAGAACAGATTCCTGTAAGAGTTCCATGTTGGATTAATAGTGTCATACCATTTTAATGAGCCTAATACTATTTTAAATTCAATGCAAGATTTTGGAAGTCATAATTATGTGAAGTAAGACATCCAAAAATACAATTAATGCTACATTAAAAAAGTGAATTGGTCCAACTGTAAATGGTTTGGTACACGGGTTAGCCTAGTGCGCTGTGAGCATTCCTCCCAAAAAGACACATTTGTGTTATTGTGTCCTCCCTTGTGCTGTCTTTCCTGCACTGTTAACTCTGGCTCTTGGTTGTTGCCTCTAATCACTCTTCAAACCTGAATTCAGTGGTGCTTAAATTCTGGCCTAGTTGGAAGAGTGGGTTAGATCTTAGGGGCTGCTTTCACTTGGGATGGTAAAACAGTGTAGATGCAAGAAAAATCACTTGAGGGCTGACAGTTCTCCTAGTCTCATCCCTGCTCCTCTGTACCCAGAAGGAAAGACAAGTTCTTCCACAATTCACTATGAAAGAATCAGAGTGGCTCCATTTACCAAAGCACATGCTCCAAAAGTCCTAGTGACACATGAGTGGCACACCAGTGAAGGGGCAGTTATTTTGCAGTGTGGTTTTGCGGTGTGACTGCTCATTCCTGGGCTGTGCTAACCAGGAGACCATCCTCAAACCAACTCTGCAGTGAAGATATACGTTAACGAGGCCACTCTAAAGGAGGCAGAGTGATTCCACTCAGGATGATCTGGGAATCCCCAGAGAAGGGCAAAGACTGTTTAAAGTGTGATGTAAGAAAAATAAATACTGCTGCAATTTTTTTCCACTACTTTACATTTGTATCACTAGCTGTGCAATTAGATGAGATCCCGCAGTAGCACAAACATTGGGCTTCTGCTGTACACTGGAGTCAAGATTAGGGATGTTAGATAGCGTGTAATTGAATAATCGTTTAACTGCATGAAATCTTAGTGGTTACCTGACTATTTGATAGTCCCCAGGGATGGGGCCAGCAGCCAGTGCACTCTCAGCCTTACTCCCGAGGAGCCCCCCATCACCTCACACTGCTGCCTCTGTATCAGAGGCAGCAGCGCAGGGTGGCAAGCGGAAGTTGGTCCATGAGCGGAGCTGGTTTAAAACCAGCATCCACAGAGAAGTCTCTGTCCGCAGTGAGCCTGGGCCCACCACGGACAGAGGCTGTGCCATGGCAGCCTCCCCTCTGCCCCCTAGCTCCGCTGCCTCTGATTGAGGCAGCAGCATGGGAGGGTGGGGGAAGGGGGAGCCGGTGCTTGGTAGCCAGCTTTTAAGCCGGCTCCCCACAAGCACTGGCTCCTGCCTGTCAACCTCCCCACTGCCTCTGTGGGAGGCAGCAAGGAGTGGGGGAGACAGCTCCAAGGGAACTGATATGTGCGGGCAGCTGGCTTGAAAGCTTCCCGGGTGTACTGGCTCCCACCTGCCCCACCTCACCCTCCGTGCTGCTGCCTCTCTATCAGAGGCAGCAGCAGAGGGGAGCAAGGTGGGCAGGGGGAGGCAGTTCCATGGGATTCGGAGCTCACAGGCCGCTGTCTTAAAAGCTGGCTTCCTCACAGGCACTGGCTCCCACTTCCCATCCACCTTGCTGCCTCTGATCCACAGGTGGCAGGGGAGAGGGGGAGTATGTGTAGTCAACAGGATTAAACAATGAGCCCAGACAAGATATGAAGAGACAACTACATATTGACATTCCGGGTACATCTAGACTACATGGCTCCGTCGACGGAGCCATGTAGTCTAGATGTACCCCCCTGGTCAAGATATGAAGAGGCAACACCGGCAACTCTACTGTCCCTGTGCAGCAGTAGCTCTAGCTAGTTATGGCAGAATAGGAGCATGGTGGATGCATGGAAAGTGATTCTGTTCTCTTGTCCTTTGAAATACAACCTCATTGAAAAGGAGAAATAAAAGGAGAACTAGAGTGAGCCAGGAAGGTGTTCTGAAATTTGTAACAAGATATGTGGGGAAACTCTCTTTGTAACTCCCTCTCTGTACAAAACTTCTGCTCAAGATTTGGGCTATAGGACAAGAATTTCGCCCATACGGAAGACATTTTATTTGAAATAGATTATTAAGTATGTTGCTTTGGTTTACAGAGAAAAATGGAGAACAGTTTTGTTTTGCCAAACCTATGGCTTTATTTGATCACAGCAGAGCTGATACAAGTGGTTTGGACAAGTTTTAAACAATTCTTTGTAGCTAGATTGCAGCATATTTGAAGGGCTACAGCAGAGCCACAGTGCCCCAGGGACAGTGTGGGATTGAGATTGCACTTTCAAAGATAGTTCTCCCCTCTTCTCCTCACAGGCTGCAAACTCCAGACCCTTCTCCTCCTGGTACATTTGGAAAGTTAGAAGACTGGTTTGTCAGGAGCGGGACCACGGCTATGTTTCTCTCACTTTTTGTGGGTGATTTGTACTTTTGAGAGTACCCAAATGGACTGTTGCTGAGCTCATGAGCTCAAGGACTGCAATTTTCCTTGATCTGGGCAGAGGATGGACTCTGTGGACAGGCCAGTCCCCTCTCCTTATACTGCTCATCCATACAACGAACAGGGAAAATGTGTCCCTTTACTATTTTTCCGCAGAGACAAACAAAAACCTGCTTTAAAACAATTTATTTTGGCATATTCCAGTGCAGAAACATATGCTCATATCAAAGAATATTGGTCCACTTTATTCACTTTTCAGAATAGCTGTACTGTACTGCTACTTGTAATATGTGCTGCAACAATATACATTTCAATGTGAACGCAGTTACAAATTAGGCCTTTCTGACATCTGGGATTCCAATATTGTACTTTCTTTTGCTGTGAGGAATGCACAGAATCATACTCTTGGAGATTCACTGTACATCACAACTCCTTTATTGGGGCCATGTTCCCAAAAATCCCGAGTGAAGCACTTTCATTTTATAAGAACCATCTTATTAAGGGTTCACATGGAAGATGGGGTTTTAGGAGGTTTTCAATTGTTTTTAAATTTATGTTTTTGTTTATTCAAACACATTGTTCCCTGCATACCTCTAATCCACATTTAGTAAGGAATAATGGTGCATTTAAATGACTGATGATAATTGAGCCATTTCCCAAAAGCTTTCAAAGTTTAGATTCATTTTAATTAAACAATATTTTATAAATATTAAGTTTCTAAATAATTTTACACCACAACCACAATTTATAGTGATGATCTCATCCACTAATTGTATCCTTTATTTGGGACTTTTTAAATCTTAACTCGGGTTTATTTGTAGCTAGAATCCTAATAAACCCCTTGGTGAGTTTCTGATATACAATCTCTGTCAGACAAGCCCTATTACACTGTACTATGGGCTCTCTTTTCAGCTGTGTGCTTTGCTTTGATGCTTTCAAGTCACAGCTATGTAGCTATTCAGAAATGCAACATTCGAGTACATATTTATTTTTAAAGTGACCCTTCCAGCACTGCACTGCAAAAAGGACATCCTGCCAAAACCAAAAAACAAACAATCCCCCCCACTACTATCTATTTGCACAGAAGGACACAGAATAGTAGGAAATAAAACCAGGTATAATTTTTAGTAATAAATTGCATCACTGTATTTGCCTGAATGCTAATTTTTAAAGTCAATGAAATCGATAGTTTTTTTGTTAATTAACCCAGATAGTAGGCAACCTGTTTCAGTACAGTTACCCTCAATTGCCAAGTGTTATGGCAAAACTGAGCACACTGCTTCTTGACTCCAGCAACCAGCTCTTGAGAGAGCAGAGTAGAAAAGCCGGTGATGCTCATGGCAGCTCCACGCCCAGAATTTAGCCCATTCTGTGCACAGAGGAGCGCAGAACAGAAGAGTCACGCTGCGCTGGAGAGATCCAAGGGCAGCCTTTTGCCAGCTGTTCCCTGCGGGGCGCCAAGCATCAGCCATGCAGCAGAGGGGAGAGAGCAGGGTTGTGCCCGTTGCGTGCACACGCCGCGGAGCATGGGAGCAGAGCTGTGCAAGGTGGGGCCGGTTTCACAGGGCGGAGGGAAGCGGCAGTGGCCGGGGAGGGAGAACTGTTACCCGTTTTGCACGGAGGAAGAAGAAGAGTCCGCAGCCGCCCGGCAGTGGGCAGCCCTGCGCCCCCCTAGCGGAACCCTGCTGCATTGGGCGGGTCCGGGCACGGGGCTGTGCCCAGGGGAAGCCGGACACGCGAGGGGCGACGCCCCGGGCAGCTCCCAGAGCAGAATTTTGCCCCGCTCGCGTTCTCCGCGGGGCCGCCCTTCCGCCACCTCATTTGCAGCAGCCCCGCGTACCAGCCCGCAGCATCGCTCGCGCGAAGCGGGGGACCCCACCCGCTGCCTGCAGCAAGCTCGTGCAGGGGCTGGGGACAGAGACCTTTGTGCGCAGCCACTTACCGGCTTCCCAGGGCGCCTGCTCCTTCTGCAAGGCCGCCTGTGAGGAGCTGGCTCGGGGCTGGCCGCCGCAGCCGTCTTGAAGGAGGGGGCAGGGGAGCAGCTGCTGGTTGGGGCGCAGAGCCGCCTGTCCGTGACTCAAGAGGCAGGAGCAGCACCTGTGACCGCCTGTCACCCGGCAGCTCCCTCCCTTGCGCGCCCTCCCCCTCCTCCGGGCTGGTGCATTGGCTGGGAAACGCCTCACTCCGCGCCTTGGTCGTCCCCAGAGGCTGCAGGCGAGAAGGCAGCAGCAGCAGCCACCAACAGGCTGTGGCAAGCCGGAGATCTGCAGCAGGTCTTGCGTGTGGCCAGCGCTTCCCTCTGGAGCCTGGCTGGCTGCTTGCGCCGGCACCGCTCAGGGCTAAGCCCACGTGCGTGCAGGGGCTGGACTGGGCGCTAGGCAGTCCTCTGGCAAGTGTGATGCAGGCTGCAGCTGCACTGAAAATCTGGCGCAGCCCGCGCGGGGCTGGAAGACACTCAAGACGCACTTGGTATGAAAAATCTAGCTTGGTGTAGTATAGGGGGGCTAGTTGGAGTACAACATTATGGAGGGAGACAGGCTGCTAACTGCTCCAGAAACAACAACAAATGGTCTGGCATGCAGCTGCATCACTGTGATCTGAGGAAGTGGGTCTGGCCCACGAAAGCTCATCATCTAATAAACCGTCTTGTTAGTCTTTAAAGTGCAACATTGTCCTGCATTTTGCTTCAGCTACCCCAGACTAACACGGCTACATTTCTACCGCATTACTGTGAGGCATTCAAAAAAATCCCCCCCCCCTCCAATCATGATTGGCCAGGCAAAATAATGAGTTAAAAACCAAATTTTGGAGAGGGGGCGGGGGTCTTTTCATTTGCCTCCTGATTTTTTAAAAAATCCTTTACAGTTGCTGTAACCAGGAGGGTTGGGGAGACCAGTATGTTTTGAAAGAGAGCTGAGATTTTCCTGGAGTGCCATGAGCACAGGAGCGGAGATTTTAAGAAAAACACCCCAACCATGGCAAGAGTTAGCAGCATTGCTCAGGCTTTTGCTCTGCCCAAGTACTTAAACACACGCTTTAGAGACATGACGTCTATGTTCGTGAGGAGTTCTCACAACCGAGCTAATTTTGAAGGCCATATTTAAAAGGAAACTGGCCATCCGTGTGATGAACATTAAAATGCTTTAAGCAAAATCTTAAAGAACTAAGAAAACAGTTGTTGGCAGTCCAGCAGCTTATGGGATAGGAAGCCCATAAATACTAAACTGATGTTAATATTTTTACAAGTGCCATGGTTAATCCTGATAGAGACCCCAGCATTGTTTGGCTTCTTCCAATGATATCCTCCCAAAAGTTGTTGTTGGCAGCTACGTGAACTTAACATGACTTTTCTGACAGTTTTACTAAAGGTTCATTTTTCAAAATGTTGCATTTGGCACCGACACGCAAGCACCGCCTGTGAATTGATTGAAAATGTTAAATATGTTACAGACCTTAGACAAAGATATTTTTATAAATATTTACACAGTTTTCATAATGCGTGGTATTTTTATAAGTATAAATGTTAGACATGTACCTAGTCTGTATATTTCTCCCCTCTGTTGTCAGAGGCTGTCAAGAGCTTTACTTGAGGGCAACTGGGAGTAATTTCTTTTACAGTTTATATAAATATAGTGTGACAGGATTGAGAGCATTTTCACTCTCAAATCTTGGAAAGTCCAACATGCACCCTCACAGAAGCCCCATGCGGGCTCTGGATAGGCACAGCCATCCAGTCACACAATATGCATGGCAGTTAAGGCCCCAAGCCTGCAATTTTCTTGATTTGCTCAAAAAACCCCGATCATCTTTCAAATGAAGTCTCATCCACTCAGGGCTGAAGTGAATGTTTTGGTAAACTTCATAAAAATCTGTTCAGCAAATTGTTTTACATGCAACATAAGAACGGCCATACTAGGTCAGACCAAAGGCCCATCTAGCCCTGTATCCTGTCTGTGGATGGTGGCCAATACCAGATGCCCCAGAGGGAGGGATCACAATAGGAAATCCTCATGTGATCCCTCCCCTGTCACCCACCTCCAGAGAAACAGAGGCTAGGGATACCATTCCTATCTATCTTGTCTAATAGCCATTGATGGACCTAACCTCCATGAATTTACCTAGCTCTTTTTTGAACCCTGTTAAGTTCTAGCCTTCACTGCATCCTCTGGCAAGGAGTTCCACAGGTTGATTGTGTACTGAGTGAAGAAAAACTTTCTTTTGTTTGTTTTAAACCTGCTGCCTATTAATTTAATTTGGTGAGCCCTAGTTCTTTTATTGTGGGAATAAGTAAATAACTTTTCCTTATTCACTTTTTCCATACCAGTGATGATTTTATAGACCTCTATCATATCCCCCTTGGTCTACTCTTGTCTAAGCTGAAAAGTCCAAGTCTTTTTAATCTCTCTTCATATGGGACCCATTCCAGACCCTTAATAATTATTGTTGACCTTTTCTGAACCTTTTCCAATGCCTATAAATCTTTTTTGAGATGAGGCGACTGCATCTGTATGCAATATTCAAGATGCGGGTGTACCATGGTTTTATATAGAGGCAATACGATATTTTCTGTTTTATTGTCTATCCCTTTTTTAATGACTCCTAACATTCTGTTTGCTTTTTTGACTGCCACTGCACACTGAACGGATGTTTTCAGAAAACTATCCACAATGACTCCAAGATCTCTCTCTTGAGTAGTTGTAGCCAAATTAGTCCCCACCATATTGTATATATAGTTGGGATTATTTTTTTCCAGTGTGCATTACTTTACATTTATCCACATTAAATTTAATTTGCCATTTTGTTGTCCAATCATTTGGTTTGCTGAGATGTTTTTGAAGCTCTTCACAGTCTGCTTTGGTCTTAACTATCTTGAGCAGTTTAGTATAATCTGCAAATTTTGCCACCTCACTGTTTACCCCTTTCTCCAGATCATTTATAAATAAGTTGAATAGGATGGGTCCCAGGACAGACCCTTGGGGAACCCCCGCTAGTTACCTCTCTCCAGTCTGAAAACTGACCATTTATTCCTACCCTTTGTTTCCTGTCTTTTAACCAGTTATCAAACCACGAAAGGACCTTCCCTCTTATCTCATGACAATTTACTTTACTTAAGAGACTTTGATGAGGGAACTTGTCATAGGCATTCTGGGAATCTAAATATACTATATCCACTGTATCCCCCTTGCCCACATGTTTGTTTACCCCGTCAAAGAACTCTAGCAGGCTCTACATAAGTACTGGAAGTGGGAAAACGTTTTTCACTTGTTAAAGGAAAGCTGCAGTGATTCATTTTCATTCAATTGAAGAGGTAAGCGTTCATCTTCAGTATATAACTGAATTTCCAAACTTTTCTTTTTTAATATATTCTTTTAACAATTTTTTTGTAATACATGACTGTGAATGGTTCTAGTGCCTGAGTTATCATCATCTTAATTGCCTACTATAGTAATTTGCTCTGAACTCCTGGTTTAAATGGGGCTGAATATGTAAGATGCCTTGAATGGTATCACGTGGTGCATTGGTGCTACTGGAGTCAATCCATGCCGCAGAGAGTGAGGGTAAAATAGGACTCCATTATTTGTCACAAAGTGCTTCTCAGGATGAATACATGGGAGGGTGTGTCTGATAATAAGTTGTGCTATTTGTTATAAAAGTTTGTGCATAATAACATTCATGATAGGAAATGCTGTTGTTGAGTTCAAGGGCTTTCCATTCCCCTTACTGTTATGCATTTTTAAAAACATTTAGACGACAAACTTGGTTTCACACCCAGGAGATGAATTTGCTTGATACTGACAGGTTGGAGTTTTATGCAGGAAGCAGGCCCGTACGCAAGGAGGGTGCAAAGGGGGCAAACGCTCCCCCTCACCCCCCAAAATCCTCCATGGTCTTCCATACATGAGGGAGGGAGTCAGTCACTCCCCTATGCCATTGTAGCGACTGCCTGTCAGAATTCGCTACTTAGGCTGTATTGAGCATGCTCAGTAATAACAGCTGTACACACAGACTCTGCTTCCCATTTTCTACAATCATTAAAAAGGGGTTCAGGGGCAAATCGCTGTGAGGGGGTCGGCAGAGAGGCAGGTATTAATCATACAAGAGGTCAAATAACTTTAGGGTGAGGCAGAAGAGGAACTGAAGGGGAAAAATCAGGTGCGGGAAAAGAGCTGTGGCTTGGCTCAGTGGGACAGGACAAAGGGGGTAGCATTTATCTAGGGGGGTGAGCCACCTTCAAAGTGTGCAAAGGCAGGGGTGGGGGAGCAGAGAGGGGGTTTTATTTCCTCTCTCAGGGTGAAACGTACCCGGGCGGGAATACAGGACAGCTTCCTGACTGTGCTCTAAAAGGTTAGGGATATTAAATTGTGGTTAATAAGCTAATCAAGTAGTTGATGGAATTTCCTAACTTACACTGACTTACACTGACTCTGGGACCACTGCATCTCTGCTTTTTAAATGTAGTAAGGGCTCTTAGGCTCTTTTACATTTAAGAAGCAGAGCTGCAGCAGTCTGGGACGGGGCGTGAACCGGGATAACTGAGTCCCAGCTTGTGCCCGGTCCTAGATGCTGCACCTCTGCTTTTTAAATGCAGTAAGAGCCTGGAGGCTCTTAACGACATTTAAAAAGCAGAGGCACAGGTTCCTCACTGCACCTCTGCTTCCCGGTTTTTAAGCCGGCTCCCCCCTAGTACCGTCTCCTGCTTCACCCTCCCACCCCCTGACTGCCTCTGGTACCAAGGTAGCAGGGGAGGGGAGGAAATGCAAGTAGTCAACTCAGATACCCAGTAAACCTAGGTTTATCAGGTAGTTGACTACTAGCTTACATCCCTAACCTAAACACCTGTGAAAGCTTCCCTAGCCTCATGTGCATCACTCCATTAGTATACAAAATGGAGAACATAAAGTGCAAAGCAAAAATCACATCCTGCACTCTTATCCCTAGCCTGCTTCTGCACCAGCTCCAACCCAGACTCCCCATCCCTCTCCCACCGTCCCAGACTCCACATCCCCAGCATCCTACATCCTGCCTAAACCCTGCACCCTCACCCCAACCTGTTCCCATGCAGCACCCTCTCACATATTGAACCCCTTATTGTTGTCCCCACCCCAGAGCCTAAGGGCCCCACAAAATCT